GCATGATGCTGCCAGGCAGAATAGAACTCAAATTCATTCCCTCTCTGGTGACTCAAAGGGAAGACCATGAGCTCTGCTTCTGGGAATTGATTTAGAAGGGTTTTTTTTGTTTGTTTGTTTTTTAATATAACTGTATTGAGGATATTTAGTAAGTGTGCTGGCCTGGGTGATGGTCTCTGCGGAGTAAAACACTGTCTAGATGCTACCATGTCCCTTTAGTGTGTCTGGACCTAGATGTGTGACCTAGTTTTTGGAGCAGACACAGGGCTGCCGCTCCCCTGCTGGAGGCTGCATACCTGGGAAAGCCTGACAAGAGGGTGTTCACAGGATAAGATGTCACACTGTGGTGCTGTCAGAGCATAAGCACTTGGTTTTGAAGAGGAGCCCTAGCAAGCAGGAGGCTTCGAGCTCAAAGGGTGCCCCACCACTAGCCGTGAAGTCTGCCCTAGGCTTTGTGTGTGAGTCAGGGCACTCAATCCTACTGCAACCATGACGTCCAGTTACAGCTGTAGTGTCTTAAAATGTTAAGGACCTGTTCACCATCCCAGAACATGTGGACCAGCATTCTTCTCTGATGGACTGTGCTGTGCTATGACTGAATGGTAGGGATTGGTGTTCTTCTGTGATGAACTGTACTGTGCTGTGACTGAGTGGTAGGGATCAGTGTTCTTCTGTGATGAACTGTACTGTGCTGTGACTATGTGGTGGGGACCAGTGTCCTTCTGTGATAAACTGTGCTGTGCTATGATTGAGTGGTAGGGATCAGTTTTCTTCTGTGATGAAGTATACTGTGCTATGACTGTGTGGTAGGGACTGGTGTTCTTCTGTGATGAACTGTACTGTGCTGTGACTGTGTGGTAGGGACCAGTGTTCTCTGCTCTTTAGGAATAATTATGTGGTCTATATGCTGTTTTCATGAAACACCTTCCATGTGCATGTGAGAAATGTGGCTTCGATGTTCAAGGCAGGTTTCCTGTTTGCTGGATTGTCTAACCTACCATATACTCTGATCTTTCAGCTATCCAGGGTTATGGGTTGTAGTCTCCCTTTAGGACAGGACATTTTTCAGAACTGGACCATCTGCCACACTTTCCGCAGTGAGTTTTGAGGCTCTGTAGTCAGTGGCACCCAAATTTAGAGTTTTGCCTTCCGGCTAAGTTCATGGTAAAACAGCAGGCCTCTGATTTCTTGCTGTGTCTACTTTAGGATGGAGTTTTTCCCATTCTTTGTTATCAGCCATCTGAGGCTATGTGCTGTGGTGAGTTCTGCAAACAGCACACAGACTTCAGTGTGGGGCCTGCCATCTTCTGTCAGGCTGCACTTGCTTGGTTTACTTGACATTCCTGATGCTCATGTCACCAGAACTTTGTTCTCCGTTTCCTGTCCTATTATTATTGTATTTCTCCCACACTAATACAATCTTCTCCTATTTTGTGCTTCTGCATACTGAATGCATTTGAAAAACAATCTACTTCCTTCTGTTCTGACATGGCAGATCAGCATCAGTGTTTTCTATATTGTTGATTAGTATTGTTGCTGTTACCCAGTAGGACATCACTCCTTAAAGTACTTGTATCCTTGATTCTCACTGGCCTGCTCACTAGGCTCATGCCTCTCCATACAGAGGACTGCTTTCTTCTTCCTGAAGAGCCTCCTTGAAAGTTTTCTGAGATAGGCCATCAGGTGGCTAAAATCTGCTTTGTTTTTCCTTCCTATCTAAGTAACTGCTCAACAGTAGACATCTCTGGTACTCCACTATGATTCTAAAAGAGCCAAGTGTTGGCCATCTAAGACTCTGTAAGTGTCTAGAGTGCCTGGTGCAAGTGTCCCTTGCTCTCCTCCTGATGTCCCCTGGCAGGGTTACAGTTTAGTCACTCAGATGTGCACTCATTTGTAACAGCTGCTCAGAACTGTGGGAAATGCACAGAAAGACTCAGAGACAGCATTGTGTGCTCATTTGTAACACAGCCGCTCGGAACTGTGGGAAACGCACAGAAAGAGACTCAGAGACAGCATTTAAAACTGACAGGCTCATGCTTTAATAGACACTGAATCACAAAGGAAGGGCCAAGCGCCCGCAGCCTCAATAAAAATAGGAAGTTCTTTTTACATGGCAAATTTCATAATATAAAAAGTTTAATGCTGTTTGGAAACTGTGTAATTTACAAAAAAAGTCCATGTAGGCCAAAGGTGGCTAACAATGCATATAAGGAGCGTGAATGCCAAGTGGGGAGGTGCCCAGGATGGGGGTGGGTGGGTGCTGGCGTGGACATCTCTGAAGGATCCGCTACAGACAGGCCCAGTTCACAAGCCACATATACAGTCAATTCAGATCAAACAAAATGTGTGAGGAAAAGCTGCCCTGTTGCTGTTTGCCACCTTGTGAGGTATACAGCAAGGACCACTGAAGCTTCTGTGTGTGCTGGGGGCAGTTGGATCCTGTGGGCAGCACCTCACCACCTATCAGTGTGGACTGATTTTTTTCTCTAAAAGGGAGGAAGGTGAGACCTGCTCATTGCTGCAGGGACAGTTGTGGGTCAAGATGTAAGTTTTGTAGGTGATTCTTGTGTTAGTTTGCAGTTAGCAGTCATTACTGGTAAGAACTGGGGCAGCCTATGGCCTTGCTCTCTGGTCCCACCAAGCTCCCAGAGGAGGCTGTTGCTTGTCTGGGGCATGTCTTTGTCTGGTAGAGCGGGGTAGAATATTTAAGAAAAAAATTATTAAAAATTTTCATTTCCTGAGCTTAAGGGAACATCTGTCTACTACCAGCAAAGGGGAAACAGAGACGACTTTTGTAACTTTGACCCACATCTGTTGGCTCCTCCCACACAGGATGAAGAGCCAAGGGCTAGGTAGGCGCCACCTACACCAAATGTGAGCCCTCAAGGCTCCAGGCCCAGTGGGCCCACTGCTTCCTTGAGAACTTCCTGGCCGTGGAACAAAATTTCAATTGCATTTTCTGCTGTATGCACCAGGAGCCAACCTTTCTTTTAAAAGGCAGACTTGTCTTCAGGCTTTGTGAACCAAGAGGCAAAACCAAGACTTGTCTTGTACTTATTAACCATTTTAAAAGGTAAACCCATCACTGGCTTATGGCCAAAACAAACAAACAAAACTTCCAACTCATTCACCAGCTTTAGTCTGTGGATCATGTTTGCCAACCCCTGACCCATACAGAATGCTGAGTCACACAGTCTCTCATGATGTGAAGATTCTTCTTTACGGTGTAGCTGGAAGCTTCAACTGACTTTGTTTCACGTGCGTGAAATCACCAAGACTGACATAAACGATGACTCGGATCTGCACATTGGTCCCATTACTTTGTCAACTTTGTTTTCCTTCATTGAAACTTATATCTAAGATAAATAAAAAGCATTCCAGGTACTGTTTGGCTCTTCAATGTGAGCCAGAAAACAACAATGTACCTAGGAGTACACCAGAGCAGCCTTGGAGTCCTCCATGACTTGACAACATGGTCATACATGGTTGAGGGGTGGAGGTATCTGCTGATGGTGGGCTGCACCCTGGACAGAGCAAAGACAGCCAGGCTCCTGGGCACTTGGGGGATGAGGCTGAGGTGGTGGCTGAGAAGGACAGGCCCAGCCACCTGCATTTGTGCTGAGGTTGATTCTCGGTTGCCGAGGACCTGACTTTGCAAGTGGAATGCACAGTGCTGGGTTTGGTTTTCATTTGCTACATGGCAAGTTAGCTCCCTGCTAACATAAGCTAGTACATGCTGCTTTCATGAAGAAGTTCTCTCCCGGGGGTGGGGCAGGTTGAATGTGATAGTCTTATTATTGTTTGTCTACAAGGTGGTTTGGATGCAGAATCCTCTCTGACAAAACTCACCAGAACAACATGGAGCCAGGGGACAGTGTCAGTTTTTAAAAGAGCACATTGAGGAGGAAGTAGCAGTCAGTGGCTACAGAGTGAGGTCATAGCATAGTGTAGGGGTGCAGGCCTCAAGGCTGAGGCAGGAGGATTGCTGCAAATCTGAGAGGCTAGTTTGGGCTAGAGACCCTGCTTTAAAAAGCCACAATGAGAAACAAAACCAAAGTCAGATCCTGTTCAAGGTGAGAAGTGCCCTTGGGGGTCATGATGCCAGCACCCCCACTCCTGTGTGTGTGTGTGTGTGGGGGGGTGTTGGCCATGATGACTGCTCTTACTGAGGAGTACCTGAATCTAGTTTCCCCTGACCTGGTGGAGCTGTGACTCGCACTGTCACAGTGCGTGGAAAGACTGACCTGGTTGATAATGACGCAGAGGTGGTAGCAGTGGGGACTGGTGATGGAGAGAGGAGAGGTTTGTGGCCTGAGCTGGGAGAGGAGGAGAAATGCAGCAAGGCAGCAGAAGTGGCTGGGGTCCTGGTCTAGCTAGCCAGGGGACATTTTTTTTTCCTTTCTATCTTTTTTTTTTTAAATAATTGAATAATTTCAACCATACCCCCAAGAAAACTTGATTACTACTTATGGATGAATATTCAAAATTTGACATTTAAAATTTCTTGAGCTTTTAAAAATAATAGCTATAAATGCAAAGTACTATTGATAATAAAACCAAGTGTTTATCCATGTACAAAAAAGGTCAGTTATGTTTTAAAAGCACAACGTTGTGTTTTAAACCACAATTGCATAGTTCTAAAATGCCTGGACAAGAGTACAGAATTTTTTTTTTTTTTTAAGAAAATTCAAGTTTGGCCAACAGTGGGGTCCAGAGGCCCCAGCCGAGCTCATGGGGAGCAGCTGGGAATGCAAGCGCTTTCAACATTAATTATTGCATTGTGGCTGTGACTTCCGGTATCCACCAAAATGGCTACAATTTAATCACAAAGAATTGGCATTTTAAAAACCACAGTTCTCCTTTTGGATAATGTAATGCATCAGTGCAGAACTTAGAATGTTCTATATCCCATCAGCACCCGGGAGCCCAACAGGAGCTGTTTGCGCTCCTGTAGGAAAGATATGCATAGAGACTTGGTAGCAAAACCAGTGCTGCCTTCCTCCCACAGGTCCTGTGGCAGGAGTAGGAGCAGAGAGGCAGAGAAGACACGGCCATTCCCACCCTGTGCAAGACCTGCTTTTGGTGAATCTGGCCCAGGGGAGCTACCCGTGAGTACAGTGGTATTTGGCATGACTGTGACCTTGCCTGGGGAGCCCACCTGTCTGAGGAGAGATGGTTTCAGTGGCTGTGTGGGTGACTGCACTAGATGAGGGACTCCAAGACTCTGGCTGTAATGTGCACGGAGTCAGGGCCAAGATGCTTTAACATTTGGAGGAAGGGAAAAGCCTTCCTGGGGACAGGAACTTGTACCCATTGGCCAAGGGCAGTCTCAGAGGGCGGGTGGCAGCTGTGGTGCCGAGGCCACCAGATGTGGTCAGCGCTGCCGTCTCTGGGCACCAGTGGCCGTTGGTGGGGACTTTGGGGGGCACCTCCTCACGCCGCTGCACAGGCAGCTCCTTCAGCTCCAGTCTGTCCGCCCCGCCCTCGTCTTTGCTGTGCCGAGGGGACAAGTTCAGCAGGCTGAGGACATCTCTTTTAGATGTCAAGGCTCCTGGTGCACCTCGGCATATTTTCCGGGGACCCCTTGGGGGCTGGGGTGCGCTCTGCCAGAGCATCTTGAGGCTGTGCACTGCCTGCACCTTCTCATCCGGGGCATCAGCTGGACTGGAGCGAGCAGAGCCAGCTGAAGAGTAGGAGAGAGCAGGAGATGGCGCACTACACGCAGGGGATTGGTGGCCTGAGCCAGGGGATGTGTTCCGGGGGGACTTGGAAATGTGAGCACTGTAAGGAGAGCTGGGGTACTTGAGTCTAAAGAGTGGTGGGTCTGCCGGGGAGGCTGGGGTGTCACGGCCAGGTGATGGGCGGCTGCTGCTAGGAGAGCTCAGGCTATCCTTGCCTGATAACTCTGATGTGGCAGGGCTGCTCACCTTGGGGAGCGATGAGCTCCTGGCTGGGGGCTGTGGTTTGATAGTGAGTGGTGATAGCTGACTCCTCTGATGGGAGAGTACAGGCTTGCTGAAGGCGCTGGTTTCTGAAGCTCTGAAGACTGTGGTGTTGTTGGGTGCTGCTACCATGCCATCTTCTCGGTCAGAGCCCTTGCCTGCTGGGCCACCACTCCTCTGAAGGCGCTCTACTGCAAGGAGGTGGCTTTTAGTCTCCTCTAGGATCCTCTGGGCCAGCTCCTGGGGGTCGAGCTTTGGGGTGCTCTCCTCCTGGGACTTCACGGTGCTGTCGGTCTCTGTGCTGGACTGGTCTGACTCACCTGTGTCTGAGCTTGCCAGTTTCCCCACTTTCTGGAAGGGTGAGTTTGGGCTGGGGATCAGGGTCATCTTCACAGGGGAATTGGGAGTGCTAACACTTCCCTTGGAGCTGACTGAAAGCCTCACACCACCTGGTGCCCTGACACAGGGCTGCTTGGGGTCTGGGGAGAAGTGTGCCTTCCCATCACCTTGGTAGGTTGCCAGAGGTTCCATGCTGATGATGGAGAACCCCTCATATTCTTCTTCTTCCTTGCTGCTCCCACGTCTGGCCTGTGGGGACAGCTGGCGCCGTGGCAGGGTGGCTCGTTGTGCGTGGGTGCTCTTGGGCCTATCATAGTCCTGTCGTCCTCGGGGGCCCCCACCTTCCAAACCCCCCTCGGGCTTGGAGACAAAACTCATGGAGGAGGCAATGGAGCTGAGACTGTACACAGAGATGGCATCGGAGGCAATGCTGTCTGCCCCAGTCGGGGAGAAAGGAGGGTGCTGGTAGCCCAGTGGCAGAGCATTGGACACAGACTGTGCTGATGCCAGTGACTCCAGGGAGGATGAGCTGTCCAGGCTGAGGCGTTTGGGGAGCTCTGTGGAATCTAGGCACAGAACATCCAGGCCAAAGGACAGTTAGGATTTTACAGACTGACATTTCCTTTACGAGACATCCTTAATGTTAGAAACTAGTAAAGACTTACACACTGCATAAGCACAACTCCAATTAACCCCCAGTCCTCATGAACAAGAAGTGGAACACCCTAGGACATGCCCAGCCATGAGCCACAGGCCTCAGCAGCCCTGTCTTTCGGCCCCTGTCACCTTCCACTCAAGCCTTAGTTCTTACTGTTCTTGTGACTGTCACTAGTGAGCCCACACACCAAGTCCAGTGCTTAAGGGCTGGTTTGCAGTGGACCCATACCCTCTGCTAGTGCCCTTTGACCCTGCAGCACCCCTGGGGCACAGAGCTCCTCCCCTTGCCTGCACTGGCCTCCTCCTAGAAGGCATCTCACAGATGCTCTAGAGCACGATGTACCCAGGACAGCACTCCAGCCCACGCCTGTTGCTGCCTTCCTGATGTTATACAATGTCGTCTCACTCTGGCACCTGTTCTGAAAGCCTTCCTATCACAGTACACATTCTTTAGCAGGCCCTGTTGGTTTGGCTACCTTCAAACCATGGCTGTGATCCAGTTGCCAACTTATCCCTAGAACAGCAGCACTCAGGCCAGGCATGCCCTCCGGTCCCAAGGAGCTCCTCTTACGCTCACCTGGAGTAGGACAGGCATGTCCTGATACCATGCCATGTCCCATCCGCTCCACTTTCCCCCAGTCTTGTCCCCACTGTGGTGTTTCTTAGGTTGGCCTTAGGCAAGCTAATGAGCTTGCTGCCTCTATCCCCCAAGAATGAAGCTCTCCAGAGCAAGGAGCTCCGGGCCCCTCCCCAGAAGATTCTAACACAAACTAAACATGCATCACTCACTATCCTTTAGAGGGAAAGGGGAGGTGCTTACCAAAGAGTGACAGCAGGGACTGGAGTGCAAAGTGGGTAGTGCGTCGACTAGCCTGTTTCCCAGTTTTCAGGATCACTTCCTCTTGGCCCACCTCACATAGGTCAAAACCTAGAGGAAGATGCCACATGCTGTGCATGGCTCTCACCAAGGGCAGCATGGCAGGGGTGCCAGTGAGTATCTAGCTGTTAGGATTTCCCAATTGATAGTGTTCAGGTCAGGCTGCCTCTCCCAGAACAGCTGCTGGGCACAGCCTTACCTGCTTCTGCAGGGTTTTGCCTGACTCTTCTGCCATGTTCCTGGAGTCAGGCTCCATGAGACTAGACATACAGCCACAGAACAACCCACTCGTTCTCCAGGCAAATGTGCACAGGAGGTCTAGGTTAGCTGAGCATCACACAGACAGCCAGCAAGCACTCTCCCAGGCACTGTGGCCAAAGACTGTCCCCAGAAGAGACCAGCCAGACTTTCTACTTGAGACATCATAGCCTGCTGGAGACTGTGGGGTGGAGAAAGAAAGGGAGCTTGTATGGGGGCTCCTGTGTGAGATGATAGGGACTGGAGGGCACATTGCTCCAGACTGAACCACTGGCCATTCACCAAAGGGGGCGCTTGTTCCCTTTCTACTCCTGATTGGGATCTGACATACATTCCATTCAGAATAAGGTTCCCTGAAAGACCCACAGGGCATTCTGGTTGTTGTGGGAAACTTAACTCTCTGGACTAAAGAATAAACAGGGATGCCTCATGGAAGTCATCATGTAAATGAAAGGCTTCTGATAGAATCCTCCGCTTCTGCAGAGACTGGAGTCAGCCGCCCCACCACCAACAGCCCTGTGCTGGGTTGGCAGAGGAACTCAGACGAGGATGGAAGGACTCTTGAGACCAAACCTGCCACCTACTGCTCTCCTCCCACTCTGCTTCCAGGAAGAACCAGGTGTGTGTGTGTGTGTGTGTGTGTGTGTGTGTGTGTGTGTGTGTGTGTGTGTGTGTCCCCTTCTGAGCACTGGCTTAGAGGCGCACAGGACACAAGTGGAACCAGCCTCGGGAGGAGCCAGGGCTGGGATTATTTCCCTTCTGGACTGGTCTCCATGACACAACTGGTAAGGGGTTGGAAATGGAGTGTTCACAGACGTGGAGGGCTGACCGTGCCATACCACACTACTTGGTTTTTGCCCTGCTGAGAGAAAAAGATAGAGCCACCTTCCAGTGATACACTGGTGTCACTGCCACAGAGGTGGCTGATAGAAGTGAAGACAACCTCTCCTGCCTCTGGTGGCATTTGTGTAGATTCCAACTCACCAGATTTGCCTTAACTCTGGACAAGAAACAAGTAGCCCAGATCATAGAGAGCACCGAGTGTGGATTGCCTTCTACCTTAGAAATACATTATACGACTGAAAACACAGGCGGCCAGCCCCCAGCAGTGAGTAGATGCCCAGGACAGAGCATAAGGATGTACAGTCCTGCAGTATCTGATGGTCCCTATGGTAGTGACATCATATTGACATCGCTCAGAGACCCCCTCATCTGGCATAGAGGCTCTGCCTGTCCTCGGCCTGGTGGGCCCCCATCCCTACCCTGACCTCATGCTGCTCTTGGCCCTCCTGCCCTCAATGCTAGTCTCTGAGGTCTGGTTTGGCCACTGTCCTTCCTCCAGCCAGCAGCCCCTGGAAATGTGGTAAAGCTTGGTCTGTCCTGGGAGGTAAGGACAGACTAGAGGGGACACTGTGATGGAGGGAAGCGGGCTGAAGCATTAGCATCTTTGGTTGATGTATTTCTATGTCCCTAGGCTTTACCCAACAGAAAACGGGGGAAAACAGTAAAGGAAACTGAAATGAAGTAGCTTATTAAGTCAAGGTGCTTGGTCCTACCGAGAGCTGCCAGGAACTCATGACACCCTGGGAGCCGCCACAGCTGGACACTGAGGGAGACTGGAATGGGAGCTGAGGCAAAGTCTTGTTCCTTCTCGCAGGCTTGCAGCTGGACCAGCACCTGATGGAGCTGAGGGAGGGAGGGACAGATGTAAGTGTAGGTCTGCCAGGCTTTGGACTACCCTGCCTAAGCTCATGTCACCTGCCATGGATTGCTGGCCTCTCATAACACCTGCAGCCTCTGGAGGTCCTTATTCAGTGTAGTCATACCTACTGCCCTCTCTGGGGCAAGGACCTGGAGGGGCAAAGGAGCCTTCCAGGGTCCCAGCTCTGCTTTGACCTCTGCCTTCCCTAAAGTACAGGAGCGGCTGTGGAAGTGGGGAAGAGGAGTTGGGGTTGGCGCCCTCTGTCTTCAATTATGGACGTAGTTGAGACCATCTTTAGAGTTTTTCACAAGACAAGGAAGATTTGAACACATCTTGTAACTTGGAACACATCAAGTTCATGGATGAGCTCATGTGACCCACTCAGGTGCCACTGTGAACTCTGTTTGTCACTGGTTCTGCCCCTGCTGCTCTAGTGGAACCTGAGAGGTCAGACCAAGGACAGAGTGGAACAGGAAAGGGGCAGCAAGAGCAGAGGAGGGACAAGCCCCAGCCCAGAGCTCTGTGTCAGCGCGCATGTGCACAGCCAGCGAGCTCAGAGCCGCAGTCCTGGGGTGGGTGGGCAAGGTGCTCACCTGACAGCATTTGCTGCTTAAAGTCGTACTCACCATTCCCACCATATTTTTAACAGCCTTCAGCCAGCACAGTATAAGAAAAAGAAAGAGAGAGAGAGAGAAGAGAGTTTAGATTCAAGCATAGCAGTTATGCACACAAGCTGATTGCTGCCACAGGAAGCACTGCACCAGCCTGGTTCTGACCAGGGAGAGGAGCAAGAGGCAGCAGGGGACACAAGGTGACAGCCATGCCTCGGCCAGTGTCCAGTTATCCTGGGGCCCACAGTGAGCAGACCTAAAGTCCCTTGGTTCCATGAAAGCAAGAGGCATAAGGAGCTGGTACACTTGAAGGCTCTCAGCCTCAAGTTCTGCGTTCTTTTATGGAGGACACAGACCAGCATTCTAGATGCTTTAACATGCAACATTCTAGAAGTATCCAACATTCTAGCAGATGAGGCATGCTAATTATAAACCAGCAGGAACTCAAGTCAGGTCCCTGGCTGCCAATAGCTCCAGAGCAGAGGAGTCTCCAGGAGCCATTGAGAGTGTCTACCCTGGTGAAGCTCAGATAGGGTACCCGTACTGGCACATGGCCGAGACTGGCTTATATACCTCAGAACAACATGCACTACTGTATTAAGTTATAGCCTCCAGAATGACCAGGAAAACCACTATGCACCCTTGAAGAATGCCATCCAGAGGTCCTCCCATACATACTGCACCTGGGGTGGACTCTAACTCTCAGTGGCCAGAGGAAAGTCAGGGAGACAGAGAAGCCACAGGATCGTGCTGCTCAGAGCTCAGAAAAGAAATTCTCATAACCCCTGAATTCTACCCACATTTCCCCAAAGTAGCCTCTTCTTTAAAAACTGCCATGCAGCTGGCTTTGTGCTCAGTGCTGTGCCTCAGGGGCTGGCCCAATGCCTGCTGGCTCAGGACAGTCACTATGATACTGGTCAGTTAGCTGAGAAAGCTGGGTGAGGTGGCAGGGTGCAAGAAGATAGTGAATGGCGGGTTCTGGAGACACCTGGACCACAGGCAGGGCGTATGAGCCCTAAGAACCTGTCTGTAGACTCTGCCTATTTGGAGATGCCATTCCCTAAGGCAGGGAAACCACACTCTATTCCTGACAGGCCTGTCTGGGTCTGTCCAGCCTAGCTTTACTTACCCGGCTGATAAGCTGCTCTCCAGTCTCTGAGGCCGTGATGAGCTTGCACAGTGCTTGGAGGGCTGGGTTGGGCAGACCTGAGCCAGTACAGAGGAGCAGATGTTACTCAGAGGGTCTTGGCACCTCCAGGGGAAAGAGTTCCAGATGTTCAGTGCTGAGGGAAGTTTGCTGCAGGTTGGCCCAGCCAGAGACATGTCCCTGTGTGGCTTACGACAGAAGCATGTAGCCTCCAGGGAAGAGGGATCCTGACCTTATGCTTGACTCTCTCTGTGATGTTTCCAGGATACCCTAGTTCCCAGTGGTGTGCCTGTGTCACCCTAGTTGGTCTGTGGTTTTGCCCAGGACCACTGAACACCCCCAGGAAGGGACGAAGATCGGGTGAGGTGGGCATCAGCCATGCATCAGTGGCTGTGGGATTCTGCCATGTCCGGTGATACTTCTGGCTACAAGGCCCAGCATTCTTGAGACTCATGGTCCCTCTGTGCTAGCACCCCACCCCCACCCCATCGCAGCTTACCCAGCAGGGCCTGCAGGGTGCTGCTGCACTGCTGCAGCCTCTCGCCCGGGTCTGAGGTTGGAAAGAAGACAGCTGCTGGCAGGCCACTGGCCGCAGGGTCCAGCCGGAAGCCCACAGCAGTGAGGAGGGCCTGCCATCCGGGAATGCCACCCACTTTGTTCTCTACACTCTGCTGGGATGTGTACATGGCATTGCGCTGCCCGTTCTGGATGCGCTGCAGGGACTTCTCCACCTAGTGGGGAACAGGACAGGTAGAGATCCAGATCAGACCTGTTCCTCCTCCTGGTGCTCTGGGGGAAGTCAGTGCAGTGCTGACTACTGCCACCTAGAAAGCCATTTGACCAGGCCTAAGGACACGACGCAGAGCTCCCTGAGCCTTAGGCATAGGAGGGTATGATGGTAAGGATCTGATCATCAGACAAAGAAGTCTGCTCCTCTCTACTCCAGACACTGTAGCAAATCACAGAGAATGACCTCAGGTCAGAGCCTGTCCAGCCCTACCAGTGCCTGCCAGATCCTCATTTTCTACAGAATGTGTCAACAGCACTCCTCCCTGGTGGGCCTGAGTTGTCACAGGCCCCGAGGCACAGAGGATTGCAGACTGTCCCCATGTCACCTGAGGCTTCTCTTAGAACAAAACAGCACAGATCAGATGTCTGGGGAAGAGAAGTGTCCACTTAAAACAGAAGTGGCTGTCCCTGGGACAGAGAGTCTTGGAGACACCTTGCATCCTGAAGGGGAAACAGGCATTGTAACAAGGAAGTGTGGCAGGGGAGCCTGATGTGTGGCTCTGGTGATTACCATTGATGGAGGGAAGCAGTAAATATTCCTGCAGCCTGGGGCCTCGGGCCCCTGAGAAGCCTGGCTGGACAGAGGAGTGTGGGGCCAGGGTTCTCTGCTGCCTAAGAGAAGTCTGCAGTGGTACAGACGGAGTGCTCTAGATGTGGTGGGGAACTTGAAAGGGCCCAATATTGTAGCTTCAAGATACATGGTGACAGAGGAAGCCAGTCTCAGCATCCTCAGGGCCTAGAGTGTGGCTTCTCACAGCAGGACTAGGCACCCCTAGGTACAGTGCATGCTGACTGTGTGGCCCAGGGTGTGGGGTCTGAAGGGCCCGACTTGAGTCTTCCCTATGGGATAAGAGGTTTACATAGCCAAGGTGGCCTGTCCACCTGGACCACAATCTACTTCCAGCTCCTGGAGTGGGTCTTCTGCAGGAGCTTCTGCTATGGTGCTTGCTCTAGGCCTGTGGGTAACCACAGATAGTGTGTCCATGCTACATGGATCCCAGCCTGGGCCAGAGCTGGGTTGGGAATGACTGGAAACTGCTCTCCATGCTTTCAGCAAAGGGTTGAAAGATGGGACAAATGTTGTATGACTTTTATTTTGGGAGTGACATGATCTTCCGTATTCTGAGTCAGCCTTTAACCCCTGATCCTTCTAGCTGTCTCTTCTGAGTGACTATCTTAACTGACAACTTCTGCTGTGCAGATGCCTACAGCCTCATGAACCCTGGGCTAGCCAAGGGTACAATCAGTCCTTTCTCAAATCAGGGAAAGACTCTGGTAATGAAGTAAGGCCTGTCAGCTGCTGGGTCTTCCTGCACTCCTGGGACTCCTTCCCAAGAATCCTCTGAGACTGTGAAGTATCAGCACCTTGC